TGTTTATACAGTATGCATGATTGTGTTTGTGTTTGTGTGTGTGTGTATATGTGAGTTTGCTTATGCGCATGTGTTTGTGTGTGTTTTTGTTTGTTTGCTTGTGATTGCATGTGTGTTTGTATGTATGATTGTGTTTCTCTGTGTGTGTGTATGTTCGGTTTGTATGTGTTTATGTGTATTTGAATGTGTGTGTGCATGTGTGTGTGTGTGTCTGTGTGTATATGCGGCAGCTTGTCTTTTATGAGGGCGTCTTTATAAAAGCACAGTGTTTTCACTGCAGAACATAATGCAAACGTGTCCCATTACGGCCCTTAAATCTAAAATTACAAGCGGCCGGTCTGGGAGAAGCGTCTCCACTGAATAAACCTTTTCATTTGCATGCTGATTCGGGGTTGTTTCGTCCCGACGCCTCGTCTCTTTAGTAATATTACACCACTTCAGCCTGGAATAATATTTTACGTGTCCTGACTGTCGTATTAAAGTGTAATATGCTAGTTGTTTTGTGATTATGGTGAACGATGCTGAAGTCGCTTTGTTAGAATGATGGAAAATATTCATAGACAGCATTAATATGACATTTTTATCATATATCGCAGAGCAGAAAATATTATAATAGAAAATAATATATTAACATAAGCAGCATTAAAGGGGCCTATTATACGAAACAAATCACGTTTATAAGGGGTTTAAACACAGTTGTCTAACAGCAGTTTGTGAATATAATTACATATAACAATATATTGAATATATGAGCAATATCACACGAGTAGCAGTGCGATAAGGCTGTATATCAGCACTGGTGGGAGGCGTGCGCTGGCCTTAGCATCTCACCAGTGCTGATATACAGCCATATCGCACTGCTACTCATGTGATATCGCGTTTATACAACAGTTAACAGCACAATCGTGTATATAAATAAGAAAATCAAACACGGAGAGTCTAAAACCCCTTTTGTATTAGGAACTACTTTCTTCCGCCATTCATTCACATCCGCAGCTGCATCAGAACAGCAGAACAGCCGTTACTAAGGCCCCGTTTACACTAGTGCGTTTTAGTTTGAAAACGCATAAGTTTTGCTACGGTTACGCCATCCGTCCACACTACGCCGGAGTTCTCGAGCGCCGAAAACGGAGCGTTTCGAAAACGCTGGAGAGGCCGTTTT